GCGAAGAATTACAAGAATCATATAGCTATGGGGGTGTTAGTGTGCCTTGTCGTTAGTATCTACTTCTATACGATTAACGCTGTGAAACAAGAGACGTTTCTGGAAGAAATCGACGAAGAAATGGCTGCAGAGCGACCAGCTACACACGGTCATTTACGACCGGCTGAAAAGTCATGAAATTCTTTTAAACTCTTCTTCCCAGTGTTCTCTCTTGCATGACCCCTCCTCTACCATTGCTATCTTATCATTCGCTCATTTGTGGAAAGTTTAGCTCATATTTGTTTGTTTTGCAGATGTTTCTATGTTCTACATAGCTCGTGCTTGTATCGATTGATTTAGATATTAGGCATTTTTATAGTTAGGATTATATAGGATAGAAATTTCGCCGATTTCGTCGTTTCGGTTTTTATACGAGTTGTTATGTCATTTTGTTTTTAATCAGATAAAAGATTATATTTTAGGTAAGATTCTGCTGTGCAATGAGTACCGAAGAAGCTCCAAAAACATCAGAAAAGTCTCATGATAATCTAAAGGAAGAGAAAAATTTGGACAATGAGCCAGCGGAAGCTGTTATCCGGCCAGCAGCAGAAGGTGTTATTAGTCCAGCAGAACAAAATGAAAACCAACTGAGCAATGGTGAACCAGCTCCAGAAAAGGTAATTTTTTGAGATTAGTTCCATTTTTGTGTTTATGTGTATATGTGTTATATAGTGGAACTGTGGAAAACTAGTGTCGATAGATTATAGAGTATAAGGTGTGTAATATAGATGTACACTGAATTCGCTGCAAAAAGGGGCGTGGCAGTCCGGGGCGGGTCTCCTCATGAGGTTTATCTGGTGCAAGGGGTAGTGTAGATGGCGCTCCGCGAAAGAATTCACTGTCTGCACGCATTATATTGACTTTTGAGCGCGAGTCTGCTTCGAGGGGGAGGGAGGGGGGGGGGCATTTATAAACTCCTTTGAAGTATTGAACACTCATCTCAATGCCTTTACACTCCTGTAAAGCTGCAAAATGGTACCGGTTCCGCTCTGTATACTATATAAAATAGAAATGGCCAGCAGAGTAACCATGCCAAAGAAACAGGGCGTCTTGCCGTTGGAAGGAAGGTTTGCGGACTACGATTCCCCCCCCTCCTCCCTCATTCTCTCCGCCGGAAGACTCCCTTTCACAAGCGACCGGCTTTCTTACCAGACTTTCTCAAAGTTTAGTAACCTCTGCCTTTGCCTTCAGGTGGTAGAGGAGGGAGGGGGAGAATTAGTTTTCAAGGGCCACCGATGAACATAATACAGTAGCTTGGAAAAGTACCAGAAACTTGGAAACGTTAACAATCGTGAAATCTTTTCGCAAGCCAGCTATGACCGCTTGCCAGCAGCTGAATAAAATCTTTCCGTTGTGTTTTGTTATAGTCGAGCCCGCACCTCACGCTTTCCGGGCGAGTGCGCTATCTGTTATGCCACCTGAGCCGCTTTTACCCTATCAGCCTAACGGCTTTTATGCCGTAATTACAGCATTCACACGTTTAACTTGGTGATTGGTCTTTCCGTTGGGATTCCCCAAGGTACGGCCTGCACTGATTTGGAAGCACAAACGATAAACATTTCTCTCGGTGTAGATGAACTACAATCATAGTTGCGGATAATAGGGCGTGTCCGGCGGGATGATTTAGCGCGGCTTCATATCTCTTTACACCAGTTGCTGAAGCTGGTAAGCGACAACGTTTTGTGGAAAACGACCGATATCGGCGATATGATACGGTCTTGTCGCTTACTCGCCTCAACACTTGGTAGAAAACGGGCGTCACCCCAAACCAATTTCGCCTGACATGCCCCTTCATCCGCAGCGAGCAAGACTGTGCTTATCATGGGATGCAAGAACCGTGCCCTGCAGAAATGAGTTCAACTACCCCAAAACTTTTTCCCCCCTAGGTTCAGGCAAATTTTCAAGTCCCTTTGCACGTTTCTTCTCATTCTAATTCGTCCTTCACTAAAAACCGATTGATGGCGGGCTAATGGATCTGGTACTATTTCCTAGCTGCAGAGGAGTTTAGTGGGCTTTCAAGCCGGTAAATTCCTGTGCAGCCCGTTTGGTTCCAAGAAACTAACAAGATGAACTCTCCCCCCCCCTCTTCCCTAGCGCACTCTAACCAGTTGTAGGTTTTTTGTCAGCCATTAACATTCTTATGCAGTTTTGCTGCTATTTGAATGTTGAAAATTATCACTCTTATCATTCTTATCACTCCTCTTTTGCCAGCTATCTTCTACCCCTCCATCCTCATCCGCTGTAGAGAACTCGACACCAGCAACGACGCAGGAAGCAGCAGAAAAAATTGCAGCAGCCCATCCTCCAACTATAGTCTGCGAAGACCCAGCACCGGGCTCGGTTCCCAGCACATCGAAGTCGAGCAAATCACCGGCGGTCAAAGATCGATCTCCGACTCCTACACCAACCCCAGTACCGCCGGCCCGAACGAAGAAAAGGAAAGTGAGTTTCTCGGTTACGTTTGATTTTCAGTGTATTCAAATTAGGACGTGAAAATCATTTCGGTCCTGTCACGACACCAGCACTTTGAACCGATCACTAGATTGGATGGTTACGGGGCTTGTTAAGCGTTGAGACTTCGTGACGGCAGCGCTTCGGTGGCGCGTTCGACGCGATCGATTCGCATGCCCTTCAACTGCATCGATCGCGTCGAGTGTGTGTGACCAAATTGCTGCCGTCGAAGTATGAACGCTCCGTAGGCGTGGTGAGGCATGAAGCAGAATCTTCGCGATGTAACTGTGGAAACTTGGATTTCCCTGTTACCGCTAGAAAAATCCTAGGCAAGAGCCTATCGTCTTTGAGAAATCAAAGGCATTCGAATTCAAGCGATCGGGAGACGCGCAATTCAACGCGGTTAGCAAAAGAAACTAGCAGAAGTGGGAAATGTCCCCCCCCCCTTGCCGCACAGTGTCCAGATGTGTTTACCTTGCGGAGTAGTGCAGCGGAACAGTATTGGAAGCATTGTTTGAATTGTAAGAACAGGTCAAATGGTGTGGTAGTCTAGCGTCAAAAGAGTGTGGCTTCATTTATAATGTGTGCCATGAAGAGTGGTTGGTCGACGAATGATTCCCAAGCTCCCAAGTTAGTGGAAGCTTCCACACAAGTGGACATCAGTTGGCAGTCTGAAGGCGAACTAAGAGAGGTGAAGCGTTCTGTGACTTGTTTAACTGCCCAGATTGACAAGAAATTAGATCAGATTAGAAGTTTGTAACTAGCTAGTCAGCACTGGCCACTGAGGCCCACCTAGGAAGTCATAATAGTGCTAGTTCAATGGAGAGCAGTTCTAACCAGAGGTAAAGAATGAGGAGAAAATATCCCTCGAAAAGGCACATATTTGACCCCTTGGTGATCAGCTTGCACGTGCGCACGGAAAGGACGAGGTCTCCATCTATTGGTCTCAGCCGCTTCCTTTTATAATCTCACTTTCACCACTCGGAATGGAGAGCTAGTAGCGGAATGCCTGCACCAATAGAAACCTCTAGACATGCGACGACATCCCAAATACACATCCTTTTTCTTCCACTTACAAAAGGAAATATCGGCATAGTTTCAGCGTCCGTGCTGATGTTTTTAACGCGCCTACGACAGACTTCCAATTTAAAGGGCGCCGCTTTGGGTTACGGTACCGTGGCGGTAATACTGAAGTTAGCTTCTTGTTGCGAGTTGTGCGTCGCGGTGGCCAGTGGGCGGGCCGCGAGCGTGTTGCGCTTCTCGCATATTTTTGAGCTGTGGGAGCTGTGGAAGTAGTACCCCCTCCCCACCTGTGGACAGGACATTCAAGAAAGGCGTCTGAATATCTAATGAACGCGAAGCGTGCTTTTAACTGTTCGATGGAACTCGTCACGATTGTGCATAGATGCTTGCCATCACACGGTACTAGAAGTACTAAGGACCTTATCCTTTCTACCCTCGCCTAATGACGGGTTATGCTACATCGTGCGACGTCGCGATATGCCTAATGCATAACGCTGGTATATATTGCAAAGCCGACCTATACGGGAGTAGCGCCGGCACCTATGTTTTAGTATGGAAGTGATTAAAGCAGTAGTCGTGTTGAGTTGGTAACAGGACCACCGACCCTGAGCAGTTGCTGCGTAGCGCATTTTCCAAGGAAGGTACCTTTATAAGGGTCCTATCAAGCTACAACATACCGACCCAAACGCCCACCTCGCCCGCCAAATGGACGACCTTTCCTGATGCTCGTATTGCTTCATTTGGCCTACGGGAAACTCGTCCGAAATTGCTTCTTGAATCATTAAGAACGAAGGCTTTTCTTCGCAGGTTTTTGACCGTTTCACTTCGTTTTTTCGCCATTTTCCCCACTATAGCGCCCTGCTAGCATAGGCGTGTACCACCAACTGCCTTAAAAGTGAAGTCAGCTCAGTCTACTATCAGTTAGCTTATTCAGGTTCAGTCTACTTCGAAACGCCCAAAGGTATTTGAATGGAAGTGAAGTGTTGTGTATTGGTGTTGTGACAGTGAAAAACGCAGAACCGTTTTCTTAGGAGATTCACGCACCATTATTTCCCCGTTTTAATTACACCAGTATTTAATTATAGGTTACGGATTTCCGATGCGCCGAAGTACGGTGGTTTTATCGGCGAAATGACTCTGATAAATGGATCAGTTTCAATGGTAGTTTTTCGAAGTTCACGATGTGAGGTACATAAATTGATGAGTGATAAACTATTTTAGGAAGAGATTCGTTATGCTTGGAGGCAAAATATCGTTCCGTATTTTGTATTCCCCTGGACGAACAAATGGCCAAATGATATCGTGGAGCATGGTTTCACGTTCAGACAATCAGTGGTGGTATTAGAAGGACTGTATAAGTGAGTGTCATTTACTTAAACGAGATCCATTTTGTCACGACCCTTGTTGGGGTCTATTTTTGGCGAATGGACTGGATGTTTAAAGATAGTGGGCACGATGGCTGAGCAGTTACTGGTAACCTCACTGGTGGAAGAGGCTGCGAGGGGTGTTTGACCCTGGCAGTTACCGTCCGCCTCCATTCATCGTTCCATCGCCTCCAGCCTTCATAGATTTGCAACAAGGAGGATTTACTGCGTATAAAAGAAAGGCCGGAACAAGTTTAATGGTAATTTGGGAGATTGGGCTGTGTTGCGCTGTTGAGCAAGTCGCTGTTCGCTGTTCATTTGGCCTGAAGGCGGGAGAGGGAAGAGAGGGGGCATTTAACACTTTCGCTAGTTTCTGGTGCTAGTTCCCATTACGGCTCACCTTGATGAGACCTGTAGTCTCTTGTCAAATGTAGGAGAAGGTCATGCAATTGCATAACTGTACAGCACTTTACAGGTCTCCACTGAAGGCATCGGTAGTATCGTTAGGAACCAGCAAATTGCCCCACCTAGCTGACCTGCGCCTTCATACATGTTTGTAGTTTGCTTCCTTGACAACACTGGGCACGTTTACTCGAAGGCAAAATCTATTTGTGGTCCAACATCCTGCTTTTTGTTTTGTTTCAGAGCAAATGATGAGCTAACGAAGGTAGAAGCTATATACTGGAAAGGAGATTCATGTGAGATCAGGCGAGGGACATGGTTTCTACAGGCTAGTTTTCATCCTTGCATTTTCCCAAACTTTGAGTGTTTCCGCTTGGTTACTTTTTACTTTACTAGCTTACTTATCCATTTTAATTTGCTAATCAAACGGTTTTCTTCTTAAGGACTGGCAACCATTAGAACCACCGGTGGCCGAAGCGATTGAAGCGCATCACTTGCAATACTTCAGAGGACAAACAATCCCAGAAGGATTTACGGTATTTTCTTCAAAAGAAGCCAGTAATAAGCCACGTCAGTTGCAGTTCTTCAATACTACACCGGTTCATCACTTGGCATAAATACGTTTGCTGTTTCCAGAGCCTAACCGAGGCTACAATTGATGGTATGGAAATACGATGGAGCTCTGTTATCGACGTGTCGCTGTCGTTTAAAAGGGGAGCAATATTGAGGTGATTTTCTACCATACCTTTTTTGAGCCTAAGAGAGTGTCTACACTGATCACAGTTCAGTTTATGAATGTGGGAGCAATACTGGTTAGAATACCTAATCGATGGCATTTCTTCAATTGACAGTGGTAGCGGTCTAGTGATTTGTAGTAAAGTGCGGCCGGTCAATTCATGAATGGCGCGTAGTCGCTACAAATGCCACGAGGTGTAAACGCCCTTCGCTCATGCTTACCGCGTTCTTGTCTTCCTACCGCAATTTTTTTACCTATCTTCTTACCGCAATTTCGCATTCCATGGTGAGAGACAAGAGCAATAAGACGGCGTTCATACTCTGCGACTGATGAGGCGACGATTCGAGAGATTGCCCGGCCAGTAAAGTCTAATGTGATTATAGTGTGATATTATTGGTTTATACTTATTCCAATGATTATTACAAATTCTATGAAACTGTGGTATTATTTTCAAATGTTAATTTTTTATTCACTTTTCTATCTAATCATTTATTTATTTTTTATTATAATTTCATATTGTCATTGTTTTAATTGATTTCAAGGAAGTAGTCTAGTTTCCGTTTCGCACGTGCCCTTAGACGGAAACTAGACAACCTTGGTATCCTCCCCCCAGATATATGTAGGTATGGATCTGGCGATTAAGAAAAATGCGAATGGAGGAGGCGATGCGTCAATCTGGGGACTTTGCCCGATTCAGAGCAAAGGGAGTGGATGGATATTCGAAACGCCGGTGCGATCCCAATTCCAGCGCTGATCATACCACACTTGCACGTCGTGCAGTCTCGAATAGCCAAGTCTTTTCAGTGGCAAAGTATGAACGCGCCTTTTGTTTGTCGAAGTAGGACAATTGCGCTTTACCTCCAGGTCATCCTAGTCAACAAGAAAAGTAGTAAAGGAATAGTTAAAAATGGTCTATCATGCGCAGTTGTTTAGGTACATTGGTTGGGGTAAAAGCCAAGCCCTTCGTCGTGGTTTCAACAAAGAAGCAGAATGGGATGATGGACCAGCGGAAATAACTCATCTTATACTTGTTGTTCATGGCATAGGGCAAAAAGGATATGAAAATCTCATAGCTGAGAATGCACAACAGTTAGTTTTTTTTAGTATTTCTACCAATTGAAACAAGCTCTCAATTTCTATCATTTAGGGTTCGTGAGGCTGTCGTTGGTGCATTAGAACGATGTTATCCTGAAGACAAAGGACGGCCTATGTTTTTACCTGTCGAGTGGAGATCTATTTTGAAGCTAGGTATAGCCCTACTGTCACTTTTTATTGTATATTTTCATTTTCAATTCAATTTTTAGACGATGGAGTAACTGATGTGATAACGCTGCCGAAAATGAGTAGTATGAGGAATGTTCTTAACAGTACTGCCATGGATATAATGTATTATCAAAGTCCTTTATATCGTAAAGAGGTATGAATTCGCTCTCATGCAGGGTCGTGGTGATTGGGAAAATCTGCCCCTCAACGCGATCTTACCCAGGGCCCAGGTACGGCATCGTGAAAAGGAATGGCAGAGTCATTACGAAAATTTCTTTTCTATAGAACGATCTGTCCCCCTTCCCCCTCCTAACTACCATAATATAAGTTTCCCAATTCCTACCATTTCTTGTTTTCCAGGAACCTTTTGACTTGTGTCGAGCATCTCAGGACGCACCAGTTCTATGCACCTCCCACACAGGCACGTCATTGGTTGGATTTTAATCGATTCTATACGACCCCCTTTTTTGGGAGTTGGTAGATCGAATCGAGCCGTCAAACGGGGAGGGGGGAGTAAATAGCACATGTGAAACAGGAAAAGCCGCGAACAATACGACCCCCCCCCTTCTACCAATTCCCAATTACCAGTTTTTCAGATTTTCCCAAACTTCCTGTCACTTATTTCTTTGGGGGTGGGGTATTAGTACGCATAAAATGAAAATCACGAAAAAAGTCAACTAACACTCCTAGAAGGCAGGAAGCAAATTCGACCGACCCCGACCTCTCAACATGACCGAGTACGGCGCCTTCTTTAACAACCGTGACGGTGAGCGAGAAAAAACACAACTATCAAAGTACAATTTCCCAGTCAAATACGACACCTCACCGCTCTACTAACGGCCCAATACGACCCCCCCCCTATTGGGATTTTCCACAACACAAGGGGCACTGCCCCCCGTGTTTAATCTCAGAGGTTTACCAAGATTGGATTGGATTCGCTAAATAGCAAAGATCAGGGGAAGATGGTTTATGCGGGACGAGAAACGGTAAAAACTTCTGTACTATTCGTCCATACACGTAAACAAATGCTGTGTTTAGGCAAGGCTAGACTCCCCCTGACTATTGCCCTGAGCTAAAGGCTATTAGATTCAAAGTTCAATGAATACTTCAGGACTGTATTAAATGCTGCTTACGGCTTGTCTAGAATTTTCTTTTCATTACCGTAGGTAAGGCCCCTGTGCTCGTTGAAGATTTCCCAACCATGTCGTGCCCTGCGCATTTGAGTTTACTGGAATATTGAATTCTTAGACACGGATTCGGCGTGTTGCAGATTGTGGGTGGTGTAGTCCGTCAACTAAACCGAATCTACAAACTTTTCACGGAGAATAATCCAAGTTTTTCTGGTCCTGTATCAATATTTGCACATTCTCTTGGATCAGTCATATCTATGACATTCTTCTTCGTTGGTCACCTTTTCAGCTTTACGACAAATATGTTACACATGCAATGGTGAGGCGCTTATCAGTTTGATCCTTACCTTCTAAAGTCTGATAATGTTCTCTCTATTAAGGACACACATCTAGAAGAATGCACTGATCCTGAAAATATTGAAGCTTTGAAAGCGTTCCAGAAAGCGCGAAATGTGTAAGTTTTCTTACCTGTAAGGCAGAGTCCCTTCTAATTTTGACATCTGCAAATGAACTTCTGAAAACGCAGAGGACCAAAAACGTTAACATGACTTTTGGGGAGGGTCCTGCCGCGATAAGA